GAGCATTACTGGATGTGAAATTTTTAGAACATTATAGTGCCTCTCTGCAAACTGGCCTTTGGCACCTTCTCGGACTTGTCAATGACAAAGCATCTTCCAAAATTACAAGGTTAAGGTCCAGAAAATTGCTGCAAAACATTTGTTAACAAAGTCAAGCTCATTGTAACACTGGATTCTAGTCATCTTAAGGAAAGTTACAGCACTGGCACTTTATCATACACAATGAAGTTTTTCTTTTTGGGATACAGTACTACAGTAAACTTTATGAGAGGAGCTGTAAGCTGGCTCTGTATGGCTCTCAGCCCTAACAATGCTCTTTAACAGTTATCTGAATATAAATATGGTCGCTGTCCTACCAGACACTTAAACTTTCAAATATTCTGATCAGTCTACACTTATACTAAAAAAAATCTGTTGCTACAAAATCTGAGAATCAAAATCTGAATTGGTGCTTACAGATAACGGTAACAAAAAATCTGAATACAAGGTCACTGAAGCAACATGAGAAAAGTTAACACGTTGTACACACACTGGTTTACCACCATAAGGAACCAGGTGATCAACATAGACACGGGCATCATAAATACTAGACACGGATCTAGAACTATTGGGGGAGGAGGGAGGGGGAGTGCAGGTGGATGTGACTCAACAAAACATTTCCACCATCAAATTAATAACATTCTCTGATTGGTATGTGCAAGTGTTTTTGCATATGTACATATATAAACATATACTCTACATGTATCAGTGTTTGTGTAGGTTTGTTTATATGTATGTATGTGGGTGTGTATACACATTTAAGACAATTCCATAGTGTTGTTCTGATGTTAACATTCAGCATTTAGTGTGAACACCATCTCATTGGCAAGAGAGAATAGGAGAGAAAGAGAGAAAAGATAGAATAGGGGAGAAAAAGAGAGAATAGGGGAGAAAAAAGAGAGAAAAAAGTGTGTGCAACAAAAACAATAACTGGTGTATTGGTCAGTTGTATAATTTTGTCTAAAAATTTTATATCCTGAACCTGCCACTCAGCACAATTAGTATCCCCCAAATGTGCATTAAATAATTAGATAATCAATACAACATATACGTTCATATATATATATAGTGTACATATATATTATATATACACATACAGTATACATATACATGTCTGGGTATAAGTATATATATATATATACACATAATTTAATCACCTTCAACACTTACAAGGATCTCATATACGTAATACACACACACGCACACATTCACATACATATAAAAAACAAATATATGTTGTATATGAATTTTTGGTATACTGAAGAAACATTGTATCATAAATGATGTCCACATTCTGATAGGTTAATTGACAAAATATATTTGCACAAGATGGTAAAGTTAATTGAGTCACCTCCTTGGTTGTCAACTAGCTATTGTACAAGTCTGCAAGCCATTGTGACTCCCTAAGCACTCTACCAGAGCAGTACAATTTAATACTGAAAACTAGGCACAGAAATATTAGGAATATTGCTCAACTAGCCTCACATAAATTATCATACAAGTTTACCTATTCCTCGTTAGAAACATAAAACAGCATTGTAAAAACTTCTCGTCACAAGTATTTACAATAAAGTGCCTAGTTCCCACAATGCCCAATGTATTTAATTAAATGCCAGTAGTGTGCTGAGGAACTCACAGCAGCCATCTGTTGGTTTGAACACATGGTGGAGGCACTGTTGTGTCCTCATAGTAAGTTTGTTGAACCTCATGTAGGCATCCCGAGAAGCTGTCACAGGAATCTATTTAAAAAGGGGGCAGCTTGGAGATGTGATACTAAAACAACAGTCACCACTGAACCACATTGTTGCATACTGCAGTCCTGGTTTGTGGATCACTTGCACATGGAAAAAGAGAACAGTGGATGTGTGTGGTCTTGAGCTTGTAAATGCTGCAGATATCTGGCACATATCTACAGTTTATTTGTACACCATAACAGGGAAAATGGGACATCAATAGGAACCTTGTCAAATGCTAAAATGGGATTTAAAATTACATTCAAGTCAGATCAGGATGCTTGATAAGACTTATTTTCCATATGACATTATAAAAATCTCTGTATGATAAAGGAGATACAAAATCAGCATGCCAGAAAAGTGGTATGAAAAGTCATTTGCTAAACTCAAGTCTTGATAAACTTTGATCTTACTGATGTCCCAGGTGCCTGGATTTTAGACAGCTCCCGGGACGGCCACATCAGCCTTATGTTACACTGTGGAGGGTTCGCTGTGGCTTATCCTCTGCTTCATTGGTAAAGTCACACTTTGCACAACTTCTTATAGCCTTTATATATGGCTCTGCCAATGTACTGTTACATCCATTACATTTACTTCTGCGATGATCCTACAATAACCCATCATCGTTACAGAGGGTCTGACTGCACAAATAATTTAGCTTCCATGAAGACCATCTACTAAGATTTGGACACATTTACTACTTTTTAAGTAGTTCAGAAATTGTGAAAATTGCCATTGCAGTTACACCATTGACAACAACGTTGCTACACTGTTACAATCTGCGGCTGTGGTTGAACCTGACTGATGCCTTACTGTTGCTTTAATGCTGCTCTTGAGTATGATCCATTTTGCCTGTCATGGAAGGGCCTCCAGTTGTATATCATATGGGAATTTCCCATTAACGGTTTACATGCACATCTAATCTTGTTGGACAATAACAACTTCACCTCCTTTCACACAAGAGGCTCCTGTAAAATGTCATCAGACACCAAAATGTGATGATGCCTCTATACAATCTAGCAGTTCTATATTGCCATTCTGAATGTGGCAAAACCAATGCATCAAGCACCAAGTGGCCTAAAATGTGTAAAAATACAAATTACCCTCATTAATAATATAAAAATAAAAATACCATTACACTACACATGAAAACTTTAAGCATTACACTATACTTAACTTTTAACTGATATATTGAGAACATTGTAAAGTAAGCTTAAAAATAAAAAATTAATGAAAAAAGAAAAAAGTTACAGCGATTGATCCCCATGTATTCAGGAACTTGGCAATTATTTTCAAATGAGAGAGCAAGCTTGCCCCTCCATCCACAATTTATCACAAGTCACAAGGCACTTTGACTTATCACCAGCTTACCACTATAGGGAAAATAATTTAAAATAAAAGAACAAATCTCCACATGAAATCCATATTATACTAACATAATAATACCTATGTAAAGTAATAACATTTTCTGCTGCTGCTACTGTAATGGTGCTTGAAGATTTGTGGTGCCACATTCTACTTAACTGAATACCACTCAGTTCATTTAAACAAATAACTACCATCCAGTAACTGGAAAAAGCGCTTCAGCATTTCAAATGCTACAAAGAACAATCAACTTTCTGTCATCACATGACTCATTTTGGTAACAGACATTAGTCATTAAAACACATGAATTCTAAAGAATTCTCAGCCTAACACAATTTTCCTTCTGGACAAGAGACGTGGGTGCCCCTACCTGCTGCTGCCCACAAAACCCTTACTGGAGGGCAGCATATGGGACCCAACAAGCTTTTCACAATATCACAGACCAACAAGGTGTGCATGTGGTGTAGCTCCTCCTAACATGCCGTCCTCAGTCACAGCTTGGCTGACCTTACATCACTAGAACTTGCACTCTCTCAAGAGCCAAGGCTCAATTGCTACAATCTCAGCCAAACATTAATCCATTCACCTGAAACTCCTAAAAGCAGACATGAAAGTATCAGTATATTATGTACTGTCTGCTCTCCAAATTCAAATTTATAACAATGGCATTAACGATAATTCCTAACAAGCCACTTTTTATTATGGGTGGATGAGTTTAAGGTTTGGCTGAAAATGTTGCCCTGTCAATCATGACATAGTTTCATAACTGAAAGACAAAGAAAGTTTGTCAAACTTAGAAAGAATGAGGTGAGAAGAAGCTGAAGACAAAGATGAGAAGTGTGTGTGGGATGTGACTCGTGTGCCTCCTCTACGGTCACTGGTGATGCACACAGGAAAGAACAGGTGGAGGACTAAAAGCTACAGTTTAACGAGCTAGGCTCACCTACAGTATTTCTAATTTCTATCAATAACACTAGGGACACATCTGTGGTATGGTACAAATAAAATTCAACAGTCACTTATGCCATAAACAAGCTCTGCTTTCATTTTAAGTTGACTTGGTCAACATTCCATTCGGTGCACAAATGCTCTATGGTATGTACTTGACACTATCACGAGCAGGTAGTTTAGAGTCCGGCCGGAGTGTCATAAGCCAGACTGTTACAATTAACACCAGCCCATCCTACAACCCACCAAGGCCCCAAAGGACCACCAGTGGCTGGCTCTAACTCACTTTGGTAACCCCAAACTAAATACTCGCAACTATTTTTCTGAACCATTTTCTGTTTCAGTTCTAACTTGGGTATAGCAAACCTAGGTATTCAAGCAAGAGGTCATCAATGTGTATTCACCAGGTAAGTGCACACAAAAGTAGATGCTAGCACCATCATGATCCACTGGGGTGGGTATACAGGTCAGGCAACCTCCGCAACACCAGACCACAATGACAATTAAGAAGGCTTGAAACCTCCACAGCAAAACAGTCCAGTACATAGTTATACACTTGTGGCTATGTGCACAGCTATTGCCTAACACTGACCATAGCGAGGCAACCTCGGGTCTCCAGACTGACCTTGGTTAGGTTCAAGGCCCCATGCCCCTGCCATCGCTCTAAAAATCAAGAGGGTTTAGGAGAGAACAAGGGAGAGGGAACAAAGTGGGACTTTGCAGGTAGGCATGAGGTGATTTTGGCAGTCATGTCGCACTGGGAAGCGGCCAGGTGACGCAGGTGGTGTAGATGATTTGGTGGTAAGAGGGAGAGCATATCCATGGGGCACTGGATACAACCCATGCCCACACTAACCTACCTTGTACTATGACCTCAAGCCTCCAAACCCAATCTGTCACTGGGTAATCTTCAAAAAAAAAAAAAAAAAAAAAAAAAAAATATTGAGGGGGGAAGCACAGTAGCTCCTGAAGTGCACCAATCATTCTAAAACAAGATATTTATATTGATAAAAAAAATCTGGTAATTGGGCTTGAAATATTATTCGTGGTCAGCACAGCAGACGGTGTGAAGCTCTGTGTGCAACTCTGGGCAGTGACTAGATCACAAGGATACTCAACGCTGCAGATGTGCCCACTGGACTGCTCACCCTCATATACCACTAACCATCTACTTACAGTTTTAATCTCTTTTGAGAATAAGAAATATGACAACAATATCAATACCTAAATTTAAAAAACTAGGTATGTAACACAGTTACTGTCACTGGTTCAAAACCTTTGATTTAACTGCTTTACAAGCAGAAGTGGCACTTTTAGTGCTTACAATATCAACTAATTTATTATAAGAATGTAAATATATATATAAAAATTTATCTTCTTAAATATTTGGGGAAAATTTTGGTATTATTCATTAGACATATTTTGTAACTTATGTAGATTTTGTAGATTTTGCATATTTTCTAAATTTTGAAGACTCTGTTGCAAACTATGCACTGGCTTAGCAAATGGAACCCCGAGGTGCGTGGTAATGTGCTTAGACAGGTAGTCTGCGCGAGCAAATTTCTTTCCGCAGACCTTACATGGGTACGGCTTCTCACCAGTGTGAATGCGCAAGTGACGATTCATATCAGAGCGGCCACCAAATGCCTTGCCACATACACCACAGTTATATGGCTTCTCTCCAGTATGAGTACGGATGTGAAGCTTTAGGTTTTCTCGGCCCTTGAAACCTTTCTGACAGAACTGACACTTGAAGGGTCGTTCCTCATCCCCTCGTGAATCAGAAGCTGGGGGAAGAGGAGCTTGGGACAGCATTAGGGCCCCCCTTGAATCAAGTTTAAACAAACTATTGTGGCCAGGAGGAGTGCTGGTCCCAGGGGTTACAGTGGTGGTACTGGCAGTGGCAGTGCTAACTGCCACAGACGAGGACGGAGGAAGGCCACCTATAGGAGTGGTAGTGGCAGGAGGTGATGGCATAGCCATAGGAGTGGAGGCTGGGAGAGGAGAGCGAGGTGGTCCCGAGACGCTACTTGGGGATAACCGGGGTGAGGCTTGAGGTGAGGATGCTATACTGGGGGGGCAAGACAGCCCTGGCCCATCATTCACATTCACCTCACGCAAAGTATCTAGTGAGCAGTCTGTTGACCCTCGGCAATGACCCTCAAAATTGGCCACGTCTCGGAATGTCGACTTGCACTTAACACAGTAAACAAATTTACCTTTATTCTCTTCTTCATATTCCCCTTCCTCCTCCTCACCCTCTACCTCTCCTTCTTCATCATCCTCCCCATCTTCATATTTTTTTACACCATTTTCTGGATTAACTGTTTGAAGAAGGGCAGCATTAAATGTGGTGGGATTTGATGTGGACGGCCGCCGCTCAGCTCCTTCTTCCTGCTGCTGTGTCTCTAAACCTTCTTCTTTTAAAGTTATAGAAGCTTCAGATTCACTCTTTGAAGATTCATTAACCAAAAGTCTTTGGAGGTAAGATTCATGGATGCCCCTTGATCCCAGTCGACCCTCTTCTGCTTCTGCTTTCATTATTCGATCGAGTGCATCATGATTGGAGCGGTGTTTAGTAAAACTCTTGTGGTACTTAAAGCACTGACCACACACACCACAGCGAAATGGTTTATCCCCAGGAAGTTTAGCCGTATGATTTTGTTCCTGGTGCCGTTGAAATGCAGACTGGTATTTGTAGCGTTGTCCACACTGGTCACATTTGTATGGTTTCTCTTCCTCATGGATTCGAACATGCTCTTCTAGATGATGTGATGAGGGTAATATCATGGCACAGATGTGACATGTGATGCCACCCCCAACATTTTTGTCCCTAGCCACACTCAGTGATGCAGTAGATGTTGCTGTTGTTCCAGATACTCCAGGAAGTCCTAACGCTAAACCAGAAGTTCCCCCAACACCAGCAGGACCTCCCAGTGGCAAAGGTAACCGAGCACTAGGCGGTAATGCTTTCATTACATCTAGAAAGTGCATGAGTTCTTTGGGAGGAGATACTCCAGGGTGCTGTTGGGACTGCTGCTGTTGCTCGAGGAGGTTTGAGGGAAAGTAATGCTGAAGAGGATGATAGCCTAAGGCCAATGCCTGGTGAAGAAGCGCCACTGGAGGGAGGGGCCCACTGGGGGCAAGTGGGCCCCCAAGACCTGCAGGGGTAATGGAAGTGTTTCCGAGTCCACTTCCTGTTAGAGATGGTGAAGGTACAGATGATGGAGGCCCTGTTGATCCCACACCAACCTCTCCCTCCTCCAGGATTACTTCTGGCGACTGGATTGTCTGAAATTATAAACAGTATGTCAGTAAATGTGGCACGAGCATTTGTTTTGATTCTTTGTTTCTTCATTTTAGAACGTGTCTATAGAAAAACAGAAGCTTATTATTCTTGGGCTATTAAGTATCACAACTCAACACTGCTCAAGGTTAAATATAAATAAACCTGCATCACCTTTGTAAATGTTTTTCTTATAACCTAACACTTACAGTTCCAACAAACACTACTACAGCAATGGGCTTCACACACATATACATTAATATTTTACCTGTAAAACTCAAAACTTAAAACTTCTCTAACAAACCATCATCAGCTCTACAGGTGTTCTTCTTAGTACAATCTTATTGTTATTTATTTTTCACTATTTCACTCGACACATTATCGTTAATTTTTTTCATCCATTCAATTCTCGTAATTTCCAAACTAATGTACTGCTTATTTTCTAATTTCCCTTGCTTTTATTGGTGAGTTGTCTGTAATTTAGTAGCCAGCTCCACCACATCCATAAGGAAGTGTTGGAGTAAGCACGCTTGTATTAATTACCATATGCATTTAAATATTTCCATACATCAAGACTTTCTCTGAATTTAGTGCTTGCAGATTTTGTTCTCCCAGTGACAGGATCATCACATCTACACCCTAATTACAACTTTTAATTCCTCTCCATTTAAACTAAGATTACAATGACCACCCATATCTTTTGAAATATTACCCAGTGTCATGTTTTTGTGCTCAATTCAAACACTCATTCCATCAATGGCAAAACAAACTCTACAGCTCTTGACATATTGCAAAACGTCGGGCTCACAAAAATTAATTATGAACATATACCCCAAACTAGAGCTCTGAACAACTTACCAGCATTTTTCAAACTGAACACTATAAACTTCAACAGTTTAAACCAACCTGCTTCAATTATCTTTGGTCACCTTCAGTAATCACTCAGCACTAGTGTATCCTGACATCTCTTGTGCACAAACCTGTATCCCACTTAACTGGGTCCTCCTACATTACTTTTGAGATAACTGCCCTATACTTTATTGTACTTATTACCCCCTTACTTCATCATAGTCCATCTTGTGTTTGTTTTGTCTTTTTTATATGTACTTCTCAAAAATCTTAACTCCAGCACAGTACTTTGTTCATTACTTGACCATCCAATTACAAATTTTCACTCTCATATACATAACCCCCTAAAATTGATGCTTTATTGATTATAATTCAACTTTTTACACCATTGCCTGTACTGTATGTCTTGTCAATTCTAATAGTGTATGACCATTCATAATCCCCTATACATACAATAATGAGTTTCAATCTCTATTCCTTTCTCCAAATGTTTAAGAATTCTACACCCAAAATTCTTTCCACACACCTTTTTTGTACAATGAATGATAATAGACTGAGCTACACCACCAAACACTAACCATGGGGCCGCGGTCATCGTCGGTGTCGTCTTCTGAGTGTAGAGAGGTTTTCGTGTCCCCAGGGTTGGATGTTTGACCTCCAGATACTTTGGTTATGGACGGTGAAGATTTGTCTGCATCCCAGTTGGAATCTCTGCTGTTGCTGTCCTATAAATTGTAAAAAAAAAAAAAAAAAAAGAAAAAGAAAAAAAAAGTTCATACAGTTTAACATAATTTCTTATTTTAAATCATTTGCACAATGACCCTGAGTGCATATATGCATATTTGAATAACAAATTCAATTAATCACCTCCAGCCATACATTGCACACGACCAGAATAGTGTTCAAATGGTAAACTTCTTCATATGGTTTACTGAAACTTGATGCAAAATGTCCTGAGACCTTTACCAAAATATTTCATGAACACAAAATTTTTAGTTATCCACCACGGGTTCTCTGGACACCATTTTTGGCTTCCTCTGTATAAATAGAATGATTTTTTTTTTATTGCAGTTTGTGTGAAAAATAACTGATAGGAATTTCCCTATTATGTCAAGTGTCAACAACAATGTTCACAGTCACAGTTTTTTGTCAGCCGTGGATATTTTGCCACCAAACTGAGCAAACTTAGCTCCATCCTTTTAAGAACATACTGTATACTGAACTACATGTGTGCTTAATACTTGAGAGATTCATGCAAAGTTTGCACTCTTTAGTTAACCAAGCACTGATGTCATTTGTCTGTTTGGTCATGGTTGGTAAGCTTTGGTACACTGGCAGAACAAGTTTGTTCATATCTGACAAAAGTTGGAGGTACTAAAGGAGGGCAATACAGGTTTGTTTCTACATTCATATCTTTGTTTGAGCTGATCAGTGACCATGTTGGACTGTAATGAACTATGCTGATCCATATATATACCGAGTAAGGTTCCTGAGAAAGTACCGGTATTATATAATAAATAAGTGTTGGCTGCCTTACTGGATGTCTGTTATAAGAGTGGAAAAAATGTACCTACTGGTATATGGGAAGGTGAAGAAGCTATGTGTGAACTGATTTTGTTTACTGTTTTGGCTCTTTCCTGTAACTTTCTTTTAACACTTGTCTTGTTCAGTAATAACATCTCATTGCATTTCTCCCTTGATCAATTTTTTCCAACTCAAAAAGTAAGTGGAATATAGATAACAAGGCATCTGTTAGCCTTTCTCACATTGTTGCAAAGGCAAACAACCTTAATTTATAATGGTCAGGTAGAGGTTATGCAGGTTCACCTTGGCCCATTGTACAACACAGCACAGTAGCAAAAATGTACATTTTCTCAAATTGGATTTTAAGTGTTGAACCCGTATCAGTCATTGCAGCTGTACAATATGGGATAAATATAGTCTTTTGAAGGCAGACTTGGTAACTTGGCAATGAGATACAGGTAATAATTTATTGAGTTAATATGTTTTTAATATTTAGTTGGGTTGCACAAGGTGTCTGAAGATAAGCTCAGTTACACATCCTATACTACTGTATTTCTAACACTTTATTTTGGAAAATGACTGTTCATATATGCACACAGCAAGGACTGGCTGTACTGTTCTTATATATATAAGGTAATAAACACGACCAGACAGAAATGTCGAAAATTGGGAAATGTCAGTTGCAATATGTATGTAACAGGGCTTCATTTGTAATCAGATAACAGGTTACCGTAGGCATGGTGGTGAAGTAACTTGATAAACATTTTACTGTTTTGTTTGCTTTTACTGAACGTCTTCCTGCATGTATCACCAAAACACTTAACCATCATAACAACCTCTTTATCTGATCACAAATGAAGAATGTTATTTACATAAAAAAATTTTAATATGTATAATTGTGTTGTGAACGAATTTACTTACCAAGGTACAGTACAATAAAGGAATAAGAAGTAACTGCAGTAATAAGAGAAAATGTTAGCTTACTCTATACTGTACTGAATATGTTGTAAGTAATGAAATGCAGTCAAGGTACAAACTCTGAGCATGTGTTATACAAGGATTAAAAAAAAAGTCTAACTAAACCTTTTTACACCTCTGCAGGATGTACTAAACATTGTTAGTTTCTTAGGAAGTGACAACATATATGAAGGGTAACATCATAAATTTAAAGTGTATTAACATACCTCTCTCCTGTTCGGGTCCGGTACACGCAGACCTGATGGCCCTGCTACTGCCGTGTACTGCCTATCATTATGCTCCTGGTGGGAAGATAAGTGTCCGTTTGGTGCTTCTGATCTCAAGTGCTTACTGCTACCTTCACAAACATTAGATTCATTGTCACTGCCCCCTGTAGATACTCTTCGTCTCTTGTGGACTGGAGAGGACTCCCGCGAGGTTGGTCGAGATCGGTAGGTGGGGAGGTGGGATGAAACTGGTATTGACAAGCCAGGATGAATGGCATGCAGGGGAGGTGGAGGTCTATCTTCTGACCCAATTTTTCTCCGAGGACTACTACTTTTTACAGTGTTGGCTTCATGTGGTGGGGCGGTCGAATCTGTGGTGTTTGTGGAAGAGGCAGTGGTTGTAGTTGTGAGTGTGTGGCTTGTTGCTTCACCAGACACTCTACAGTGAGGATGTGGAGGGGAGGAGGCTCCTGGAAGGCGATTGTCTGCCAGACCCTTAATTTGTAGTTCTCTTGCAGTGCACAAGAGTGCGGCGAGGTCATGCTGTTCCACTGAAACTTCTCCATTGTAGATGAACTCTATGAGAGTGCGGAGCTCGGAGTAGCGAACATCTTTAAGTATGACTATAGGATGTTTGTCGGGATGTGCCACAAGCAACTCCTTGAAGTACGGGGAGCATGCCGACAACACCAGCCGGTGAGCCTTCAGGTGCCGCCCCTCACATGCTAACGTCACATCTACAAAGGTTTCAGACTGTAGCAATGAGTTGAACACACGGATCAGGTTGGCCCAGTGATTGTTCCACTTGAGGCAGTACTGGTCACTTCCCATCATCAGGAGCGCTGAAATAAAAACAACAACAATTAGTATCCAGCTTTACCCACTTGTATCCATTAAACAGCTAAAACTTGACCTCTGTGAGAAGCTACTATGTACAGTACATAAAAATACATCACTAGGAAACAGGAATACAATAATATCTTTTGTGTTTGTTTCGTATTAGTTACCTGTGCAGTAAGTATATTACATGTATCCTCTATGATTATTTGTGCAAATTATATACAGCTTCTAAAATTTGAGAGAAAACACCCACACAAATGCAAAACAGTAAATATTGTACAGTACAGTTTTAGTAACTTAGTTTAAAGTGCAATACTGTATGTTTCAACATTCAAATGTGTGATTAACCATGTTGTGTGTTCATCAGGGTCGGATTTAGGAATGGGCAAAGTGGGCAGCTGCCCAGGGGCCTCCACATGTACTGCAATAGCTATATCAGGGCAGGTCGACTTGAAACCACATGAATGACTCCAGTCATGTCTCACTTTTGTGTGTGTGTGTGTGTGGGAATTTGTACACTATCAATAAATATACAGTTAATTAAAAATTTCTCAATGTTCTAATTTCCTCAATATAACTGCATATGGCTTCCAAATTCTCCAAAGAAGTGTTCAAATTTCAAAATTTTCCCGGGGGGCTTACAGAGTCCACCGCAACTCCCAGATGTTTAGGCTCGCTTCACTCGCCACCCCACCCTCTTGGGTAGTTATAATGAGAGGGGGGGGGGGGCTCCACAAAGCGGCTGCCCATGGGCCTCCACAGGTCTAAATCCGGCACTGATGTTCATGTGGTATATACAGCATTAAACATCAACTGCTTCTATATACTGTACAGTACACAAAGCACAACATATCAGAACCTTAAGTAGGCCTACCCTACACCAACACATATACCTACAATAATTCATTCAAACTGTGTTATTCACCACACATTATAATAATCTGTACAATATAATGTACCTATATGCACAACATACTGTATAGATATCTATGCACACATCTATGTACATATACAAGCGCAGTACTGTATACAGTAATATCTACAGAGGCAAATCATAAAACCTGAAAAACATCTTTGTGGTTGTGTTTATATTTCCGTCTATGTTACAATTTACAGTATAAGGGTGGTGTATCTTAATGTGTGTGTGTATTACTAAACTAAGGAACACGTGTGTGTTATATACTGTACTGGAAGGTGTGTGTGTTGGCAGCATCTATAAACGGGGTTCAGTGTGAATCTCTAGGCCGTATACTGTACATCTTTATGGCTGACTCAGCACAGTACTGTAGAATTATTTAAGTATTGTGCATATACAAAACAGCTAAGTACAGTAGAAAGTTAACTATAAATTTGTCCAAAAACAGCTGATTTAGTACAGTACAGTTTTAACTATTGTACATTTGTCCACAACAATCTTAGACGACTACTGTACACTAATTACTTCAAGTGCACAGCCACATTATAAAACAATATTATATAATCTTTTTTCTAGGATATATCTGTATGAATTAACATTGAACTTAATTAACGTACACAAGTTTATTATAATTGTTATGGCAAAGACATAAAACAAAACAGTAAGAGCTGATTACATTTACTAAAATATTTCAAGAGTCATGTTACCATCTTTCCACTGACATGACACAATATGTTGTTATTCATCTCCAGGGTAATGACTATATGATTTTTGTTGTCTTTAAGCTTCAGTGTACAGTTAATGGTGTGTGTGTGTGTTGTGGTTGATTGTAACACTACTACATACCACCAGTTTTTTATTTTCGTGAGACTGTGTGGGAGGTTATCACTAGGGTGTGGTTGGGTTTTTGGCACATTGTCTCCTCGTGTTTAGTGAGCTGGGTGGTGAAGGTAGGTGTGTGTGTGTGTGTGTGTGTGTGTGTGTGTGTGTGTGTGTGTGTGTGTGTGTGTGTGTGTGTGTGTGTGTGTGTGTGTGTGTGTGTGTGTATGTCTCACCGGGGTGTGGTTGGTCGTCGTCACGGCACATGTTTCTCGGGGAGGTGCCATCCCCGGCCACCACAGCACATAGGGCTGGCAGGGGAGGACGAGGGGCCAGCCTATACACTACCTCAACACAAGCCACAATAAGCACAACACTAAACACTTTCCTCGCACCAATACTTCCTCCGGTTTTCTCACCTAGTTGCCTTTATTTCTGCTCATTTCTATAACTGAATAGTAAAGGGTCAGTGTTTGCTCGTTACTGAGATGGGTCAGTTCATCTGAAATTCAGTAAACTTGTGTTAAAAGATGACTGAACGGTAGTGGCGCTTGAGAAATTATTTCAACAATAAAAAGACTGAAGGTTTTCACCATGTGTTGGGCAGTGTGGTGACAACATAAACAGCATCAACTCAGCTGTCATACTCTCAATTCTCTCCACATTGCAACGCTGACGTAAAATTATCTACCCCCTGGACGGCTTTACCCACAAATTCTTTCAGGGTGGTTTTTATTACACTACTTATCTTAGTAGTTAAGTGCAGCGTAACACAAGTGATGATTCATTCTCAACCTTCACACACGTCACAGAACTGCCTAAGACCTCCACATTCCCTCTTCTACAATAACAAGTCATCCTCAGATTCACTCTCCTGAACCATTAAGACATGTGCTCCACCACCCTCGCTACTCTGACCTACTTCAACCTACAGACTCCTTTCTCTCTGGTTCCAAATAAACAAACTGTCTATCCTTAACACCACCTCCTCTGCTACTTGTGCTATGACGTATTACTGTCTTTATTGCATTTAACATCACCTATATCGATTTTTATTACAAAGAATGACGTTGGTTCTTTATGTCAATAGGTGATGTGTGACCTCATTATCAGCAAGTAGTTTTGATATTATCATCAAGTGCTGTGACTAATCAAAACAGCCTTTATTTCTCTAGCAACAAGTGATGTGGCCTGTATCTCTCTAGCAACAAGTGATGTGGCCCATATCTCTTTAGCAACAAGTGATGTGGCCTGTATCTCTCTAGCAACAAGTGATGTGGCCTGTATCTCTCTAACAAGTGATGTGGCCTCTAAATAAACAAGTGATGTAGCTTGTTTCTCTAGCAACAGGTGATGTGGCCTGTATCTCTCTAGCAACAAGTGATGTGGCCTGTATCTCTCTAGCAACAAGTGATGTGGCCTGTATCTCTCTAACAAGTGATGTGGCCTCTAAATAAACAAGTGATGTAGCTTGTTTCTCTAGCAACAGGTGATGTGGCCTGTATCTCTCTAGCAACAAGTGATGTGGCCTGTGATGTGGCCTGTATCTCTCTAGCAACAAGTGATGTGGCCTGTATCTCTCTAGCAACAAGTGATGTATCTCTCTAGCAACAAGTGATGTGGCCTGTATCTAGCCCTGTATCTAACAAGTGATGTGGCCTGTATCTCTCTAGCAACAAGTGATGTGGCCTGTATCTCTAGCAACAATGTGATGTGATGTGGCCTGTATCTCTCTAGCAACAAGTGATGTGGCCTGTATCTCTCTAGCAACAAGTGATGTGGCCCATATCTCTTTAGCAACAAGTGATGTGGCTGTATCTCTAGCAACAAGTGATGTGGCCTGTATCTCTCTAGCAACAAGTGATGGGCCTATCTCTTTAGCAACAAGTGATGTGGCCTGTATCTCTCTAGCAACAAGTGATGTGGCCCATATCTCTTTAGCAACAAGTGATGTGGCCTGTATCTCTCTAGCAACAAGTGATGTGGCCTGTATCTCTCTAGCAACAAGTGATGTGGCCTGTATCTCTCTAGCAACAAGTGATGTGGCCTGTATCTCTCTAACAACAAGTGATGTGGCCTGTATCTCTCTAGCAACAAGTGATGTGGCCTGTATCTCTCTAGCAACAAGTGATGTGGCCTGTATCTCTCTAGCAACAAGTGATGTGGCCTGTATCTCTCTAGCAACAAGTGATGTGGCCTGTATCTCTCTAGCAACAAGTGATGTGGCCTGTATCTCTCCAAGTGATGTGGCCTGTATCTCTAGCAACAAGTGATGTGGCCTGTATCTCTCTAGCAACAAGTGATGTGGCCTGTATCTCTAGCAACAAGTGATGTGGCCTGTATCTCTCTAGCAACAAGTGATGTGGCCTGTATCTCTCTAGCAACAAGTGATGTGGCCTGTATCTCTCTAGCAACAAGTGATGTGGCCTGTATCTCTCTAGCAACAAGTGATGTGGCCTGTATCTCTCTAGCAACAAGTGATGTGGCCTCTACAAAAACAAATGGTGTGGCCTCTATATAAACAAATGGTGTGGCCTCTATATAAACAAATGGTGTGGCCACTATATAAACCAATGGTATGGCCTTTATATAAACAAGATGTGACTCATGCAAGCTCTACCTTTACTCTGACAAGGGATGTGACCCATATCTTCGCTGTGACGAGGGATGTAACTTCTTATCTTTATCCTAAGACTTTGCCTCAGCAGTTGACGGTGATATGAGTGCATGCTAAACTTACCTCCAACTTTCCAATTACTGTCATTCTGAATTTCTTTATAAGTAGCACTGAATTACTAAACCAAATGACAAGAATATTTTTCTTTATACCGTCGTAGTAACTTGTGATGTTACCCTTATTAAAAAATCTTCGTATCAATAATCACATTTAAATATTTCAAATCACATTTAAGAAAGATTATTTTAAAGACACATTCATCTTGTGTGTCCGTGAGTATGCCCTGGATTACGCGGTGGTGCAGCGTTGCTATGTTGCTGGAGAACTGCAGGTGAGAGTGTGTTGGGGTGTTGTGGTGTGGTAGCCATGCTGGGGAGAGGTGGTGGTGGGTATACTGTAGCTCCCCTATCTGAGCCCAGCCTCTGCCACTCCTCCCCACCACCACCAGTTTCTCCCAACCCACCCATCACTACCACCACCACCCCAGACCCACTGCTCAACCCTTCCTTCCCTTCCTCACACAAACATACACACATATACACACCCACACTACACAAAACACATGATACACCTTCACTTGACGTTGAGTTAATGCTTGACGTGTCAACCACCATAACACCACCATGTCCACACAGTCCTTTGTCACAAAGCACCAGATCGCATGGTTATAGTCCATCACTCAAATATATTTACTATTGTTTTAAGTAGCACACAAAATACACCTGGCATTTTGTCAGCAATATTTCAAGCACAAAAGTTCACTGAGTGATGAGGAGGAAGTAGTGAGTGTATAGGCGGTGGTGATGGGCCAGGCCTGGTGGGCAGTGTCCCTTGGTAAAGAGAGGGGATGTAGCCATGGTGCCGCTATACACTGTTGACTGGGGAGGAGTAGATCATGTGTGGGACGGGCGGGAGCGGCGGCGGCCTCCAACCAGCTACACGGACACACGCTCACTGGTGTTGATAGGAAGGCTGGGACCAGCGGAGGCGGCACACGGAGACGAGGCGGCCCTACCTCCACACGGCTGGGCGGCGCACCTCACACTGCCCTCTCCCCCGTACGAACGCTACACCGACCTACGTACGCTGTAGGCCCGCCACGCGCGGCTGTGCGGGGACACTACCCCACGCACACGCACGCACCCACACATACACATGCAACGCTCCCACCCTCCTCTTCACAAATTCTACATTTCACACCTTTCAGGAAAACAATTTTGTTTCGATATAACATTACAACGGTATAGACGGTGAGTGTGGTGCAAGGTGTCACGCTGATGACCGGCCAGGCCATGCGGTCGAGTACAAGATTGGTTTACTGGAGCAATGATTTAGGTGTGTGAGAATGCTGGGTACACTGCTGCCTTATCTCTACCAGTGTCCACCACGGCCCGCCCCACACCCTACCTACAGGGATCTATTCAAGGACACACTTACAGACCAGCGCGGCGCCTCCCACTGGTCGGGAATAAGCCTAGCAGGGTAGTGATGGAACAATGCAGTAGGCCGGGGAGTTGAGGGAAGGGGCGAGGTGGGCACATGGAGGAGCAATAACAAGTACGGCGCACAAAGATAGCTATGGGAGGGAGAGCGGGCGAGAGAGTAGGGTGTAAAGAGAGCGCGGGGTAGAAAGAGAGTGAGGGAGCGAGGGGGCGCAGGCAGTCTTGGTCCGCCGAGGTGGCTCCGTCGCAACATCTTGCAACCACGCCGGCCTACCCCCCAGGCCACACCACCCAACACTCTTTCAGTTCGTTTCGTCCGTCTTCTGCAATGATTCGCCCGCCCACACCCCGCTGTGCTCGTTACTACGGGCGGACGGGCGGCAAGTGTAGTAGAATGAGTGTCATGGGCGTGACAGTGCGTGAGGGGCGGTATGCCTGTCTACCAGCCTACACCACCACCTGCCCAATACACACACAAATGCATACACACACCTCCACTGATCACTTCCCCGCCCGCCTCCCTAACAAAGACCAACAAAAACACAACAGCACTAAAAAGCTACGAGCCAAGCCTGAGGTGACCCCTTCTGTCTCCCTAGGTCTCTCACCCCTCCCTACACCTACCCCTTCTATCCCTCACCCTTACCCCTTCTATCCCTCAACCCTACACCTATACCTTCTCCCTAGGTCACTCACCCCTACACACACCTTCTCCCTGGGTCACTCCACCTACACCTACACCTTCTCCCTAGGTCACTCACCCCCACCTACACCTTCTCCCTAGGTCACTCACCCCTACACCTTCTCCCTAGGTCACTCACCCCTACTACCCCTTCTCCCTAGGTCACTCACCCCTACACCTTCTCCCTGTCACTCACCCCTACACCTACCCCTTCTCCCTAGGTCCTCACCCCTACACCTTTCTCCCTCACTCACCCTACACCTTCTCCCTAGGTCCTCACCCCTACACCTACCCCTTCTCCCTAGGTCACTCACCCCTACACCTATACCTTCTCCCTAGGTCACTCACCCTTACACCTACACCTTTTCGCTAGGTCACTCACACCTACGCCTTCTCCCTAGGTCACTCACCCCTACACCTATCCCTTATCCCTAGGTCACTCATCCCCTCTCCCTAGGTCCCGTATCGGCCTCTCGAGTCACCTAAGAGCCCACCAACGAAGGCGACACCGTTAATAACTCATATTATTGTATGATCGTCATACTCTATTACAAATGACAGCAAAGTAGTAGTCGTAGTGTGTATATATACTGTATATGTGACTGTAAAGGACTCGAGGCACCAACTTGAATACTAGTACTATATTTGATGAGGGTAAACAGATGGTGTGTATGCTCGGCTGCTCTCACACCTGGGTTAAGACGTTAGTACTGTCGCCACCAGGTGATTACTGCCCCGGGTACCTTATGCTCAAATGGTGTGTTTATTGTTATGTATGTAAATTGCTTTTCTCTTTATTGTTCGTATTATTATTATTGTCACTTATAAAGCCTTTACATAACCAATTAACACATATACACACAAAGCAGAAGGGGAACACGACCGGGTGCCACCTTCAAGGGACTACCCCCATGACAGTAAATTACGGTGAAGATGGTGGTGGTCTGACACATCACACCACCCTCAGGTACCTGCTGGAGGGAGGTGAACACACACACACACAAGCTGAAGCACTAATTTGACCTGTCTGGTGCTCTGATAACCGAGTCCCGACCATTCTCCTCGAGGGTGAAGAGTGTGGTGACCCAGGGAGGGAAAGCGAGAGTAAAGAAAAGATGAGGGAGGGAGGGAGGGAGGGAGGGAGGGAGGGAGGTAGGTAGGTAGGTAGGTGGGTAGGTAGGTAGGGAGGAGAGGAGGTAGTAAGGCAGTAGGAGTGAGGAGCGGTCATGTAGACTAGAGATGATTGGCATATGTGCCTCAGGTCCCCTCACCCGTGACAGAGGCACACAGGTCCCTAGCATGGCAGCCCCCACCCCTCCCTGGCGCTCGCTCAGCCTTTGTCCCTTGTGGGCTTGGTGTCTCCTCCCACCGCCCAGGCCATCTCCCGACCTCAAAACACAATTAAGATGCACCATAACCTGGCCAACAAGTATCACGGCCCATCTGGAGTATGTACAGTATACCTGGGCGTGTCAACCTCCAAATGAGATCCTGGTAATTACACCCCCCCCCCCCCACGGCTCAATTAAAAAGGGGAAGGGAGGGGGGGACCAGCCTGTATTAATATTTGTAAATTAACTTGGGTACCGCTGCAGATCCTACCAGAGGCTGCTTCACCGTGGGTACATAAGTCAATCCAGGGGTGAGCGAGAATGGGTCCCCGCTGATACACACACTCCAGGTATACTAACGTGACTTCACCACCAACAGGCTCAGTAACTCACTCCAGGAAGTACAGGACTTTAAACGTGATCTTTTCAACTTTCTGATGTGAAAATTTCAAGCAACGATGTAACCAAGGAACCTTTTATTTATGGGTTAAAGAAACAGTGGAACAGTTTTCTACCACCACTATCGCCCCCCACCCTCTCTCCCTCCTAAGCTTAACGAAGGAAAGATGAGAGTTCGCTAACTACCGCTACCTCTTCTAAACTATTAACACCCATCCCTCTTTTTCTCCCTCCTCTAACGTCCTTTTATCCCTCTCTTTCTCTAATATTGAGAGGGAGAGGGATCAGGTTACTCACTTAACATAAGAACATAAGAAAATAAGGAGTCTGCAATAGGCCGGTTGGCCTGTGCATGGCAGCTCCTGTCGAGAGTTACTACCACTCTCTCTCATCCATGAATCTATCTAGCCTCCTTTTAAAACTTTCCAGCGTTCCAGCACTTACTACAAAGTTGCTAAGCTTGTTCCACTCATCCACCACCCTATTTGTGAACCAGTTCCTTCCTATATCCCTCCTAAACCTAAACTTATCCAACTTAAATCCGTTGCTCCGAGTCCTATCCTGCTAGGATATTATAAGAACTTTATCTATATCCCCTTTATTGATTCCTTTTACTCACTTAAATACTTTTATCATATCTCCCCGCACTCTTCGTCTTTCTAGGGAATGCAAGTTTAGTTTCTTTAATCTATCTTGATAGGGAAAGTTTCTAAGTCCCGGAATCATTTTCGTTACTCTTCGCTGCACCGACTCCGGTGAATTGATATCAATTCTATAAATGTCACATAATACTTCTTTGAAATAAATGTATAGTATATATCAGGTGCCTAAAAGAGAGCTCAGGTTCTCAACTGGCTCAGCCATGTTAATAATGTTATTATTATCCACTCTGTATCTGTGTTTTTTCTGGCTAAATAAACTGTTTCAATCCAATTCAGAACTGAACAGCATAATCGAGGTGCAGCCTGACTAGCACAGTAGATCCCACGTGTTGACAGTAATATAAACACGGTTGGTATACCCTTACGGCCTTACACCCTCCCCCCCTTGTATATCTTTTGTTTCTCAATGTTTGTTAACACTTGTCAGCTGTTACACCATTAAGTTATTTCATGCTAACCCAGACCCACTCATTTCACACCGATCCCACAACCCACTCATTTCATACTATCTCACACACCACTCACTTCACACTAATCCCATTCATTATCTTAGACAACCCACACACACACACACAGACAGACAGACACAGGTGGGTGTTAAACTATATACATTAATAATAAAAGGTGACGGTGGTGTGTGTGTGTGTGCGTAAATGAGTTATGAATCTTAAAGTGGTAATTTCGGGAGGTTCAACGGGGGAGAGGGGGGTCTTGTGACTGGTTAACACACAAATACACACACACAAACATGGACACACACACACACACACATGGACACAGATACACACACATGGACACAAATATACACACACATACATACACAGATACATAAACAATATACACACAGATCCACACACCACTGACCCCCTATAATAACTACCCAAGTGACACTACATAATTATAGTGTTAAGAGCCGAGTATCTTTACTGAAGACCCATGGTAGGTGAGGGGGTGGGGGCAGCGTAGAGAGGAAGGGTGGGCGGTCGGGCGGGATAAGTGTGGTGAGGGTGGGTGGGTTTGTGGGCGGGATAGTGTAGTGAGGGTCGGTCGGTGGGCGGGGCGTTGTAGAGGAAAGATGGGCGGTGTAAGTGTAGCGAGGAGGTGGGTCTCAAGAAAGAGTGGGTGGGCAGGGGTGGGGTCGAGAGGGTATGAGCTAGTAAAGATGGAGAGAAAGAGTAGGCGGGACAGAGGGTAGGGTGTGGTAGTGAGAGAGGTGGGCGGGGCTGGGGAGGGAGAGGGGTGGGCAGGGCGGGGCTGAGGAGGGAGAGGGTGGGCGAGGTGGGGCTGAGGGAGGGAGAGGGTGGGCGAGGTGGGGCTGAGGAAGAGAGGGTGAGCTGGGTGGGAGTTAGTGAGGGAGGGTGGGTAGGCGGGGTGGGGCTGAGGGAGGGAGGGTGGGCGGGGTTGGGTTGTGAAGGAGGCTGGGTCAGTGCTACACCACGTGACTGTTACCGTACAATGCAGTTCATTGTCCACGACCCCGGCCTCTCTCCCCCTAAAACACACACACACACACACACACACACACTCCCTAGCCCCTT